TATATATATATATATATATGTGTGTGTGTGTGTGTGTGTGTGTGTCTAAAAACGTGATAATTTGAGTATCAAAAAGTATATATCTGTATATAAAAATCTCTAATGGCAAGCATCCATACTTGGCTAGATTTCCTTCCTAAGGAAAGAATGTTGTTGCATAAAATCCTCGCTAGAAAGTGGAAAAGAATTTGCTTTAAATCAATTCTAAAAATTCCACGTTTAGCTGATAAATAAGCTTAAATTGTAATCCTAGATGTTGCAACTGCTATCAAAAAATTTATGCTGTTGGGTGTAAAAGGTTCAGGATAATTCATTCCTACTGTAAAACTTACCAGGATGTTACCTTTTAAAAGAAGAATGATTTTGGATCAGTACAAAATCAAAACTTTTATAAGCGACTTAGAGAGTTAACCTTTGATGTACTGAAAACTATAAAATATTAAATATGTTTAAACATTATTAAAATAAAAACGAAAGAAAAACCCGATACCCATTACGGAATTAAAATACCATTTTGAAACTTTCGTATATGTGTCATTTTTATCTTTGAAAAATAGTTAATACAATTTGAATTAGTTAATTGTTTTATTAATAACTTTTATTGGTTTTATTTTTTTATTTTTCTACATCGTCGGCCGTCCATTGAATGTGACTTTTCGCAAAATTCAGCTGCTTGAATCGATTCCTCTCCGAAATGATTGGCTTTTTTGTAGCAGTGTGCCCATAAAATCCAAATTCTCTTACATGGTTTTGGACAGTTTGCGGCGTAAAGCTATCACCAGTTTTACCAGATAATTGTCTGCAAATGTCCACGGGCGTCAGCATTCGGTTAGCTTGAGAAAGCCTATGAATTAATCTATCCAATTGCATTGTTGTTTTTCTTGGGGCTGCCGATCTTTGCCCATCCTTATATCGTCCAGTATCCTGAACACAAGCCATTTTGCTGCACTTTAATTGCTTGCGTAGGAAACGTTTTGTTGATGAAGTAACACTATTTTTGTTTTAGTCACTGGGCTAAGAGTACGGCGCCTTCCCGTAACGAATTAATTGTATAACAATGCTCAGTTATTACACTATATAATGAATTAATGACCAGCGATGGGACCACCCATTTAGTAAATAATTTGCATAATACCCATGCGGTCTTAAACTTATTTTGCCAGCAAATTTGGATAATTTAAATTAATCCACCATTAAAAGTTTTCAAGTTGTAGAAAAATATACAATTTTTACATCATTCGAAAGAAAAATAAATTTTGCATAAAGCGTACACAATAAAACTAATTTATACTGTTTTATTAGAAACAGAGTCTGAAATGGATAAAACTTTAACGGTCTTAAACCTATTTTCGCCAGTGTATGTGGAAGATAACGATTAACCATAGACTTTTGTAGCGATCGGGAAAGCATCCTCTTGGGAGTTAGCTCCACAAAAAGTGGTTTGTGGAAAGAAGCTGCTCGAGTGGAACTTCCATCTCACCAATGCGAAAGGAATGAGGGTGTTTTGCTACAATGTGCATAGCATGGCGGATCTTAGCCGTGAAGGTTAGTACTGGTGGAACTAAGGAGTGTAGTTTGTCAGAATACTTTCTTTGGAAATAGCGATAGAGTAGTGAGACTTTTGCTAAATTTCATCTGTGAGAGAGAAGTTGTAGGATGTAAAATAATCTAACATCAACAAGGACGCTTTTGGACCCTATCGAGACCAGTATATGGCAACAGTACTCTATGTCCATTTTAGACCTGATCTGGTAGTTGTAAAGGTAGATGTTAGCACGATGTGTCAGATACTTACTGAAACAGAACAGAGAACCGGCCATTTTATCTGCATCTTTAGCGATTTCTCGTGTGTTCCATTTGAGGTGAGGTGTGAGTTTAAGGCCCAATAGTTTCTTAAGTTGAGATAATAATGATCTTAAATGAGCATCCTCTACCAAGACATAGAATTCAAGACAAACCTTTCCAGAACGGAAACTGTGATCTGGAATTGGAATGAAGGCAGTGATGATACCTTCTCTGAATCCATCATAAAATCTTGAGGTTTGGGTTGATTTTAAGTCGCAATACTTTCTCAAGTCACGGGGCCTCCCTAAGGGAACATTCATTCATCGTGACTGGTGATAGTTCAGAGTCCAATCGGGGATAATAGCACGTAACTAGTTTGGTTTTTCAGGCATTGAATGTAACTAGTTAGTTTTCCCCCACTGAACTGCTAGAGCTCGGTCAGAGGAGAGATCAGCTACCAAACTCTGGTCGTCTACAGTTTTGGAGGTTCACCCCTTATACCGTTTTATCATCAGCATAGTTATTCACAAATGATTGGAGTATACTCATAAGCAGATCATTTATGTAAATTGAAAAAAAAAGGGTTGGTCCGAGTAGCGTTGACTGCTATGAGATCGAAGGACTGGCTGTTAACATCTACCTCCAGGGACCAACCCATTAGAAAACACTATTATTCTTGTATAAGGAGAAAGGTCAATAAAATGTACTTTACTCACTGAAATATCAAAATGCATTAAAAAACTAAAACTGAGGTCAAGGGTAAGAACATTTTCGAAACGGATTTGTCACAAAGGAATGCCGGTTTTTCTTAACAGCTAATATTAAATAATCCCCGATCTTTTGATGACGGATGTTGAAGCTATAAAAAAAAAATCAGTTCGATCGCAACATACGCTGACACAGAAATTATATTGACTTCTTATTCATCAATCATCGAATTGCAACAGTTTGTTTATTATCCAATTTAGGCTTAACGGAGAGATGTTTGGAAGGCTAAGGTCACAATGATCTCAGACAACTGATTGGAAAACAAAACTGAACTCGGTGTTTCAGGATCGGCTTTGCTTTCCGCTTTCTGTTAGCCATAATAGCTAAATTGTTTTTCCCCATGAAAAAAAAAATCCGGATTAAAGGTTTGGTCTTGACGTCAAGAATAATCGGGTGATGGACATTCTGTCAAATTAGCGAGTAAAATGTATATGATTATTTTTCTCCTTTAAAAACAAATATTTTCCACTCTTTAAATAAAGTAATTGTACTTAAAAAAAGTACTAGGGTTTTTACGCACACACACACACACACATATATATATGAATAAAGACAAAAGGAAAACTTATCGTAGCCTGACGGACTTTATCAAGGCAAATGTGAGGATTTTATTATGCAATAATATTTATAAAAAAAAGTAATAATGTTGTTAGTTTTTAAAAAAAAATTTAATAGACGCTCATAAATATTCATCAGGTTAACTGAAAAGTCTATGTAAATTATGGGGCATGCTTAAGTGACGTAATTTAATGTTTAATGAATGTATGATTTTGCTGAATAAATGATTTTAGTGAATAAATGATTTTGCTGAATTTTTTTATACAATTCTTAATATACAACGCTTGGAATTCGAAGAGAGAAGACGTGTTTTTCAAACCTCTGCTGATTTCAACGGATTTTTAAGAATGTAAAAATGTCGGATTAAGCAATAAGTAATGTAAATACGAATTTGAATAGTAAATGGAATAATCATTATTGAATTAATAGTTGGAAACTGTAAACATTATTGTAAAGGATTTGTAATTCAAGACAATATTTTTTCGAAGATTTGATTTCAAAGGAAAAAATGAAATTAATGTCAAACGGAGATTACAAGAATTAACAGAAAAAAGATTTACATTAATTTTAGGAAAAAGGAGAGAAGAAAAATGTCTCTTCCTTCCTTTTTGGTTGAATGTGTTCGTTGCTTTTCTTGTGGCAGTATTGATAAGCGTCTTTTCATTTATCTTGCGTAGGATTGACTAGAAATGCTTCAGCGTCTCTGGTTGTTTGGAGTTGTTCACATTGTCTGTCTCTCTCGGCTCTACAAGATAGTGTGATCCATCAACATAATGAACCGACCCAAAGAGATGCCAGTGAAGTTTTGAGGGCAACCTCACTCCTTAGGAAATTCCGGAAGGTGCCTTTAAAAATCCCTAAATCTGTCAGAATCCCGGCAGCTGATAGTTTGGCTACTAATATAGACCAGGCACTTAACTTGAACAGCTCGCTTGACTGGGATCACCTTTTCTCTTTCGCAACACTTGTGCTCGGCATTCCTTACAATAAGGAGCTACATCATCTGTCTCATCTATGATGAAAAATAACATTTCTTTATTCAATTCGTCTAAAATAAATGCCACCGAATTTTCTAATCTTTCTAATCCTAATAGATTTCATCCTTCATCTACAGTCGACGATTCTAAGAGACTCCGTGCCCTCGTCAATACTAAGTTGATCGAGGGTGATGTCTCAGCTGCAGTTATAGTATTGGCCTCATCCGATATTATACTAGCTACTACACCAGAAGTTCTCACAGCTCTCCGTCGGAAACATCCTGAGCCACCATCAGATGTCAGATTTGTTCAGATGGAAAACAATGATTCAAATATTGAAATCTCAAAGAAAGCAATGGTTGCCGCTCTGAAGTCTTTCTCGGGAAGCAGCAGTGGAGGTGTGGACGACCTTCGACCTGGTCACATCAAGGACTTAATTTCTGCCCACACTGCCGAAGCTGGTGAACATTTGAAAACATCCATAACAGCTCTTATTAATACCCATATCCGAGCGGAAATACACCAACATGCTCACGACTTAATATTTTCATCCAACTTAAGGGCTTTGAAAAAAAAAAAAAAAAAAAAGACGGAGGTATCTGCCCTATCGCTGTTGGTAACATTTTTCGTCGTCTTGCGGCAAAAATTGCTTGTAGAGTTGTTGTGAAGGAGATAGGACATGAATTGCGACCTGTCCAGCTCAAGGTAGGCATACAGAGCGGATGTGAAGCCGCGGTTCATGCCACAAGATCATTTTTCGAGAATACATCATCTGCTTCGCCCAGTATCTTATTAAAATTGGATATGAAAAACGCTTTCAATAGCATCAGAAGAGATCATACCCTGGAAGTTTGCCATCAACGGACTCCTTCCATATTTAAACTGGCTCATCTTTCGTATAGTCATCCAACTATGTTGATCGCTTCCGATAATATTATCTCTTCTGCTACTGGAATCCAGCAAGGTGATCCACTTGGTCCGCTACTATTTGCGATGGCTATTGACGGGGTAGCTCGTTCCATCGCTTCTCCTTTCAATATATGGTATCTTGACGATGCAACGTTGGGAGGATCCATCGAGGCCGTAGCTGCTGACCTCCGACGAGTTATTCCTGCTTTATCTCTGCTTGGACTTGAGATTAACTCATCCAAGTCAGAGATAATAAAATGAATTATACTGCCGATGATTTCGAGTGCTATCCGGGATATTAGACTCATCCTCGAGGATATAAAAATAACACCTAAGGAGGAATTACACATTCTTGGTTCTCCAGTCTTTCCAATGGCCATTTGAGAGTGTTTGGATACTAAGCATGTCATTCTAACAAGAATGACTGAGAAATTGCAATTAATTGATGCACGTCCAGCCCTCTTCTTCTTGAAGAACGGTCTTTCGCTACTGAGTTTCCTCTACACTCTCCGAAGTGCCCTTGCTACCTCGAACAGGATTTCTTAAATGAAATAGATATTACAATTAAGAGATGTGCGGAGCTAATTTACAACGTTAATTTCGATGACACAGGCTGGAGGCAAGCAAAGTTCCCTTTGAGTTTCGGAGGCCTGGGCCTTCGATCGGCAGTAGATTTGGCCCTTCCAGCATATCTTTCTTCACTTTCGTCCAGTCGCGAATTAATTGATGAGATACTCGGTGGATCGTCTCAGTGTTTCTCGGGTAGTTCTTTCGAACAAGCATGCAGCGTCTGGGTCCAAGAATTACTTTCTATCCCACTAGACATAAAATAAAATGCGAGGCCAATTTTACTCATTTGAGGCTCTCTCTGGATCAGCATCGCCCGCCTGTCTATTATCTGCTTCACAACCGAATAGTGACGCCTGACTCAACGTAGTGCCCTCTTCATCTACCGGTACCCTTCTAGATGAGTGCACTCAGGTCGGAGTCGCGATCCGTCTTGGACTCAAGTTATGTGAGCGTCACAGATGTAGACGTGGAGCTTCCATCGATGAGTTTGGTTTGCATCCTTTCTCCTGTCGTCGTAGTGCCGGCCGCTTTCCACGGCATGCAGCAATAAACAACATCATCAGAAGAGGATTGGATGCAGCTGGGTTCCCTACCCAAATCGAACCCGTAGGCCTCGACCATAGTGATGGAAAGCGGCCGGATGGCATTACGATTTTCCCTTTTAAAATGGGGAAGTCGTTGATTTGGGATGCGACATGTGCGGATACATTTTCGGTCGGTAATTTGATCAGTTCCGCGGTTGAGCCAGGATCCGTCGCCCGGGACGCAGAGATAAAAAAAATAGTAAAATGTTCTTCTCTTGCTTATATTTTTTTTTTTTTTTTTTACTCCTGTGGCAGTGGAGACTTCAGGGGTTATTGGCCCTCGTTCGATGGCGTTCCTTCGGAGGATTGGCGCGATTGCGTCTCGATTAAGGGACGAGCCTCGCGAAACGGAGTGGTTCTTGCAGCGTGTCTCACTGGCCATGGTTCGAGGTAATGCTTTCTCCATAATTGCAGCTGGCAGAGGATAGAAAAAAAATTGTTTATAGTTACTTTGTTCAAACTTTTTTTTCAATAAATAAATTTTCATCTAAGAGAGATAATTCTAATTTTCTCAACTGTTTGCTTTAAGTAAAATAAAAACTCTGAAATATTAAGATTATTTTAGTATGTGATATATATATATATATATATATATATATAATTAATGTGAGTAAAATGTGTCATTTAGCTGATTGATGTTACCTTCAGCATCCCGACTCCAGAGTTTCGTCCACTCGTCAGTGGGTATCAACAATTTATTGTTTATATTTTTTCATTTTTTTTTTTAAATACACATTTAGCACTGGTTTACATTTCATTCTGTATTCTCTGTGTTTGTGTGTGCGCTTGTCTGCGCGGTAGCGTGCGCCCATCTGCACGGATTTGCGTCATGATCATTTTGCCCTTTTGTTCGTTTTTTTCTATCTGTAGCATACTTAGTCTTGTTTAGATCTGGCTCTAGACAAGTGGCCTAGTTTTATTCATTTTATTTAGGTTTTTTTTATTTTATTTTATTTTTTTCTTTGCTAGAGAAGTTGTATTTCGTTTATTTACGTTTTTATATAAATAACAGCTATGAATGATTAGGCAGTAAATATATATACATGTTTATATAATGCTTAAATGGTAAATACTTATATATATACATGCTAGCACATACATATGCACACACACACATACAAATATACACACATACATACATAGACATATTTATATATGTTCACTGGGCCATTTCGGTTTTAATTGGGTTTGGTGATATCATGTATAATTTGTAGGAGGTTATAATTATAATTAAATTTATTATTGCTAGAATTTATGTGCATATGTCTCTAATTGAACGCCTGTGTATACGTACATGTGCTCTAATCGGGTGCGTATACAGATATACGTATGCGTACATATGTACACACGGACGCGCGTACGCGAGTACATGTACACTTAAGTCAGTGCTTTGTTAGTAAAAAAACTAGTGCATATATGGTGAAGTTCATTTAGTTTTTTAAATATCATTTTTATATATATATATATATATATATATATATATATATATATATATATATATATATATATTATTACACACTCCCACACACCTATGCACACACCGCACCCACGCACGTATATGTAATTGTAAACTAGTGTATGTAATTAAAATGAGTGTATGCATATAATGTTATCGTTTATTTAATGTTTCATTTTTATTTAATGGTTAGTTGCACCAGGTCCCTGTATTTGGCCCTTCAAAAATGTGATTGGTTCTGCACAAAGCCCTCACCACTAATCAAATAATATGTGATGGTGTCTGGCTGAGGGTTTATTGAAAGTGAGCTGCTTGACCCGCATACGTCGAAATATATATATATATATATATATATATATATATATATATAAACGGTTAAATTCATAATCTCCTGTTATTTAACGTATATATGTGTGTGTGTGTGTATGTTTGCGTGCGTGTGTGTTTGCGTGTGTGGGTGTGTGTTAAATAACAGTAGGTTATGAATTTAACCGTTTTCCTTTAATTTTTTTAACTTTTTTATAGTCATGTATTTTGCCTTGGGATAGGAATAATATTTTCAGAAATAGACATATTTGAAAAAATCTAAGGTGTATATTTATTTATTGATAAGATTCGATAGTGGTACTCTCCAAGTAAGTTATTTCTCTTGTAATAAGTATGGCGTCCTTTAGATCAAAGCTGTGGTTGAATTTATTTCGATGTATGCATTTGATAAATTGTTGCATATAAGATCCTTTTTATGTTCTTACATACGTTTTTTTTTTTTTCTAATTCTGCAATATGCAATATTCTGCAATTTTCCCTAATGTATTGTGAGAATTTATTTTATATAAACCTGCTTCAGAATTATTATTGTGATGTCTTCATTCATATTGTCTTTTATTGTAGTTATATTTAAACATTTTACACTCACTCACACACACACGTGTATAAGAGTCAATGAATTTATTTTGTATTCGATATTTTTATTAATTCAAACGTTATTTTTTAGCGGATGTCTATGTTTGAAATAGATGCCCCGTTTTTTTTTAACAGACCATTAGACTTAATAAACACTGTTGAAAATATTAAAAAGAATGGAGCGTCTATTTCCAAGATGGGTATCCACTAAAATAACGTTTGAATTAATAAAGAAAATATATACGTTATTGAAGTGAGAGGTCGATAAAATAGCAAGATTCAAGGCGACAGAAGATAACGATCGATGTTGCATTAAAATTTTTGAAGATCGTAGTTGAGAGGAAAGCAAGAAATTATGGAGAGAGTTCCATAAGCGAGAAGTGTGAGAGAATAAACTATTAGCATAGAATTTACGGTTTCATCTAACAATTTAAACAATGAAATTATGAGACTTAGCTGCCAGTTTATTACCGCGTTTAGATTCGTGAAGACGAAACACCAAATGACGAAAGCTCATCAGAACATTTACCACAAAAATATTTATAAAAAATGCACAAGGAAGTAACGTTACAGCGGTTGGAAAGTTGCTGAAGCCGAGATACCATGTTAGGACCGGTAACGTCGCAGATTCTTCTTTGGATTTTGTCAAGATATATAGCAGAAGCACCAGACCAGATGTGGCAGTAATATTCAATGCACGGACGAATGGTAGGCATATATATGCGCAAGATAGATTCTGGTGAGAAAATTGTCTAAAACGTAGTATCAAATTTTCAATTCAACTGAGAGCCGATTAGTAGCTATTTAAGAAGTCTGACTGGTCATACAAATAGAAAGGATTTGGCTTTACATGATCGCAGGCAGATACTGGGATATGAATAAAAAGAAAAACTAAAAGCCACCGACTACTACTACTACTACAACGACGACGAAAAGAAAGAAGCTGAAAGAGAAGAAAAAGAAAATATCAGTAGAAAAAGAAACAAAAGCAGAAAAGAGAAAATTCTAAAATTTAGAAATATAGACGATTATCTTTCTGTAGATGTTTTTGAAAGTTTATCACAAAATTAGAGGTATTAATCATGATTTTGAACTTTTTATGAAAACACGCTAATTATTTCAGTTTCTAAAAATTAATTATTGTCTAAAAGAAACCCAACGACGCCTGTAAATTTGTCATCCTTCTTAACTCGTTTCTATACTCGAATGACTCGAAGTAAGTAAATCCGGCATTGCTGATAAAGTTACCCTGACCGTTGGTCTCGAAAACGACCTCCGATTTGTGGTTGACTGGAGCAGGAAATATCTTGTGAATATCAATGCATCCAAAACGAAACTGCTGTCATTTACTCACCATAGAGAAACGTCCCTGCCTCCGATGTTCAACTCCACGAGAGAGCCTCAATTTGGGTTTCACGTTTTCCACTGACCTGAGGTGGAACAACTTCATTGAATCAATTGCTGCATCTACCACAAGGAAGTTGGTTCTTTGCGTCGCGCCAGAAGTGTCCATCCTTCACATCTACAAATCTAGCATTTGTCCATGCATGAAATATTGTTGTCATATATGGTCTGGTGCCCCCGCTGCCCATCTCGAGTTTCTCGACAAAATCCAAAGACGGATAGCAATGTAATCGGTCCTGACTTGGGGTCTCAACTCCAGTCAATTTCTCACCGACGTAATCTGGCTTCCCTCTGTCTTTATAATTTTATGGCGTCTGCTCTGACGAGCTATTTTCATTGGTGCCTCGACTGAATGAATTTAAACGTACTACTAGGTTGGCTTCTCGGCCCCACCCTTTTACTATCGAAACAGTTAAATGTAACAGCTTCTTCTACTCCAACATCTCCTCCTCTCACACTTCCCGACAGTGCAACTTCTTTCCTCTTTCTTGCTTCCCTGATAACTATGATCTTCAAAAATGTAGGTGTAATGTCAATCGACATCGTCTGTTGCCTTGATACTCGTTCTTCTTTTTATCCTCCTCCGTTCTTCTTTTTATCATTTACTCCCCCCCCTATACGCAGCCTTTACTCTTAATTATACTCTCTGTGACTCCTTGCGTACTAGTGGCACTCCCGTCTTGCTTGGAGTGAATTGCTTTAAAAAAAATTAAACATTTTATTGATGATAATTATTATTGTTTTTATGGGGACTAACAGTGTTGAAATTAGAACTTGTTATCTTGCCTAATTGTGTAGCACACAAATGAATTTTTTTTTTTTTTTTTTTTTTTTTGCAAGCGTGTTTTGTAAATTTTGTATTCTGTGCTATTATTATTTTGCATTGTCATTGAACATATTGCCATGAAAATTTCCT